CTTGAAATGAGGAAGACCGTTGGGAGAGAACATAGTTCATTTCTCCTTTTTTTAGCATGGGGAAGAAGACGATCAGGAGCAACAAAGAAGTCGTCTACCGGACGGCAAATGGAGGAGCACGAGGAAGAAGATGGTTGGGAGCAACAAGGAAGTTGTCTACCGGATGGCGAATGGAGGAGCACGGGGAAGAAGACAGTTGGGAGCAACATAGAACTCATTGTTTCGAACAGAGAACAGAGAAGTCATCGTTTTCGAGTAGAGTTTGTTTCTCCTTTTTTTGAGCATGGGGAAGAAGACGATGGGGAGCAATCTACCAGACGATGAATGGAGGAGCACGGGGAAGAAGACAATTATCGTTTTCGAATGGAGGAACAAAGAAGGCATCGATTTTTGAATGGAGTTCTTCTTCTCCTATTTTGAATTGCGCTAAGGGGTATAATGGTATGATATTGTTACTATTTCGCAGACGTGGGGATGGGGAGGAGTTGAAAAAAAGTTCATATTTTTTGGTTGGAGTCGATAGAAGTTTCATATTTCGTACCGAGATAATTGATATTTTGATTTCTAAGGGGGAGCTGATTGAAGAAACCCTAAATATTTAAATAAATTATAAAAAATATATCAATAACACTAAATATAAGACCTGAATGAGGTATACATCGTAATAAATTATAATTTTCATTAAAAATCCTATGCTTAAATATAATTTATAAATTATAATTCGTAAGTTTCAAGGGATGGGAAAAACCCAATTATCTATCTTATCCAATCATAAAACATGCATTGACACAACTTCTAAATGACAATATAATTAATAATTATTTCTTATTTAAATAATTACTGTTGATTTTTTATTTTCAAAAATTACAAAAAATCAAAAGTAAATAAAATATTGTACAATATATTCAAGAAAAATATTGAAGAAGATATTTTAATTACTCTATGGATATGATAGATTATCCATAGGCCTACAACATATTCAATCCTTGTGATTAGATCATAAAATATAATTAACTATTATTTATTTTTTAATTCTAAAATGTAAAAAATATTAAAAATTCAATTGCTCTATGGATGTGATAGATAATCTATAGATTTAAAAACATATTAAATCTTTATAGGTAGATAAAAAAATACATTTTCAATTTTTTTGTTATTTTACATTTTCCCCTAATCTCTTCATAAAATTTCCATATATCTACTCATAACACTAAAAAAAATTGTGATTTTTGGAGTTTTATAGTCGTTTGGGGGGGGGGGGTAAAAAAACTTATTTTAGGGAAAAGTTCAAAGTTCCCCCTTTTTTCGTTTTTGTTTGTATCAATTTATTTTCAATATGTTACCAATATGCCATCGATACACCCCCGATACATCCCGATATGGGTACGATATAGTGGAAAAAAGATGATACCATCGATTTTCTACTGTATCCCATACCAAACTTTAAAAGGTATGGTACAATATGCCCTATATTGGATGTATCGTATCGAAATTTGAAACCTTAGTTTGACTAGGGTTGTCAAGGATTCCAAACATACGATATCCAATTCAACACCGAATTTAGTTCAATTTTTTTAAGGCAATTTAGTTTAGGTTTATATGTTTAGAACTTGCATCCAATTAATAATCATATATCAGATTAAAATAAAGCCTATTTAAAATTTATTATTTTATGTATATATGTAACATGATTAATTGATTATGTTTGTTTTTATCTAAGTGGCATGTCAATACTTCAATCATTTAGGTTGAATGGATCAATCATTTTTTAAATAATAAAAATATAAGAAGCGCATTTTTTCAATTGGATACATCCTTAAGTTTGTGTCCCCAACAAGGGGTGCAAGTCGAGCAAGCTGGGGCAGGTTTATGATCAACCCAGACCCAACCCTAAGATTTTGGCCTAAGGCTCAAGCTCGGACTAAGCCCGAGGTCAAGCCCAATCTTCTTAGTCTAAGCCTAGTTTGCAATTTAATTTGATACACTTAGGTTGGACCCAAGTTTGGGTTAGTCAGTGAATCCACTCTAAAATTACAAATGTGTGTGGGCATTTATTCAAACATGTATATGTATATATGTAAATATGTACGCATATATTTAGATACGTATCTATATAAACATGTATGAATGTGTATAATCAGGTTGGGTTCAACTACCTAACGGCTAGGCTTGAGCCCATCCTAAAAAGTAGGAAAGTCTTGGGTCCAATCCCAACTCAAGGATAAAAAATCCAAGCCTAACCCATATAAAATTGCAATTTGGGTCAGTTTGTTCTCGGGTTGGACCCGTGCAAGTTGCACCCCTATCCCCAACTCCCAAGCTACGGATGGGTAAACCTGTTCATGAGCTAGGTAGATTGACAGGATGGCCCAGCCCGACTCGTCCTATGTCAGGCTCAAACAAAATTTTAAGCCTATAGGCTCAAGCTCTAAAAATCAGGCCCGAGTATATTTTAGGCCTGGCTCGGGCTTTACCAAAAAAACCCGACCCGATAATATTAAATATATAATAGAAATATGATATATGTCTTAATGATGTATAATATATATTATATAATAGTAAATTAATAGAAAAAAGTAATATATATATATATATATATTAAATGTATAAATATTATATAATATATAATATATTATTAGTAATGTATAATTAATATATTATAAAGTGCATGTCAAAGTTGGGCTTTGGGCTTGGGCCCAGGCTTCAGGCTTTATATAGGGTTGAGCTCAGGCTCAAGATTTAGGCCCAATGATCGGTCCGGGCCTAGTGATTTTCTTTTTATAAAGAGGCAAAGCTCGACCGAAACCTGCCCTACCCCGACCCATTAACAGGTTTACAATGGGGGAGGGTAGGGGTAGGAATATCAGTGCAATGGGTTCGGGGTGAGGAACATACTCCTCATCCTGATTACTGATTTTTAAGTAACTTTCCATCTTTGTCCCTATCAATTCAGTAGGAAAATTTCCATCCCTATGGTGGGAAGGGGGGGAGGGGGGTTTGCAATTCAAGATTACTCTTTCTATTATAAAAATAAGGGTAAATTGCTAAAATTTCCTCGAGGATTTCTGACGAATGCTGAAACCTCCCCTAAAATTTTGTAATTGCAATCATCTCCTCTAAACTTTTTGAATCAATTGCAAGTAGAGCCCCTCTGTTAGAATCCTCTAACAAAAAGGCATGAAAATGTCCAAAATACCCATACGATTATTATTGAGGCTAGTTTCTATAAAAAATACAAACTTTATAAACAACAAAAAAAACATAGAGAATTTAAAATTGTAACTTCACCTTTGAGCGATTGATATGAAAGGTAAATTTAAAAAATAATCCAATTTCCGAAAAGAAATTAGAGGGGTCAAATTTCAGGAGAGGTTTAGGCTTTCGACAACAACCTGAATGTTCGGGGAAGGTTTCAGCAATTTGTGATATAAGCTGTTTTACTTTTTTATTTTTCCTAAGGCTGCGTTTGGAAACAATGCAAATGGAGGGAAAATCCCGGTTCGGGGTAAATTTGCACTTTGGTTCACTTTTGCATGTGTTTGGAAATATTACATTTATGCATTGACAAATGACAGACCAATGCATATTTACATTGATAATAAGATGTAAAAATACATCAATAAAAAATAAGTAAATTTGCATTCAAGTGGAATTTTGATTAAAAAAAAAAAGCATATGCTTTATTAGAATTCATGTTTGCATCCATTACAGCTAAAAGTCTGTATGGTAAAAAGGTAAATTTGTCAATGCAAAATTAACCAAGTTTTACAATTTATATGAACCGTTTTACATTCTACGTATTTGGATTCACACTTATTTGCATCATTTCCAAACACAACCTAATGTAAAATGATCAATTGGTCATTCAAGCTAACATAAAATTCTGGGCAAATCATTGCACATTGCACCCGCCATTTCTACTTGAATTGAAATTACCTAATTCAGTACAAGTAGTGCTGATGTGGCAAGCTGGAGCAACGAAATGGTGATAGATGTATCTTTACCCAACACAACTAAAATGAGCACCTTATATTTAAAGTGCATACTACTTTAATTAATTTGTGAAGGTTAGGTGGAAGCTATAAAGAAAGACCTAGCAAGCACAAGAAAAGTAGCTCGTCCTATGTTGTTGATGACCATTATTGTATGATAGAAAAAATCACTATGGTCTGTGGTCCCATTATTCACCCCCTAATGTAGCTTTTCATTGTGAACGTATTGTCTTTAATTTGTTACCAAGAAGTTCTCTTGCTGATGAAGTAAGCTATATTGAAATTTGGATGAATGATTTTGTTGGGGGATGACAAATGACCAATGGATAGGCATGGCAGCAAAAAAGAAAGACTATATGAGTCATATAATTGGAAACGTGGCAAATGCCGAGTCCGGATGTAGTAGACATGTTAGGTAAGCATAATGAGTGAGCAAGTAATAGCTGTGTGACACATGTCCAAGCTAATACATCTTTTATCCAAACGTTTTTGTTCCGTTAGATAGAAATGATCCATTATTTTATTATTTTTGTCAAAATAATTAAAAAGAAAAAACAATAAAAAAGAAAAACATAAATGAATCCCAACTCCCAACACCTTTAGTTTCATTTTTCATTGTTTTTATTTTAAATTATTTTAACAAAAATAATAAAATAATAAATAATTTCTGTCTAAGAAAACAAAAAACATTTGAATGAAAGACGTATTAAATAGGACATGTATCACAAAAAACTGCTCACTCATTATGCTTACCTAACGTGCCTACCACATCCGGACCCGGCATTTGCCACCACCAGTCTAAGTGCTTATTCTTACCTATCAAAAAAACACTAAGCGCTTATTCCATGTTGGCTACCAACTCAGCTTTTCACATGTAGGAATCATTTATTAGCAAGCCCGGCTTCATCATTGTAATTATACTGTAAGGCAATATGTAGAGATAAAATGGCAACATCATTATTACATCCCAAATGTACGATTTTGTTATGCCAATAAATTTTGTCCTTCTCACAGCCAGAGAGTTTTGTATCACTCATTGAGCCACCAAGAATAATGGAGCTTCAAGAAGTAATTCACCTCATTTTGTCTGCATTCTATCTCTTAATTGTTAGCTTCTCTTCATGTTCATTATCAGTACCTGAAGGTAACTTGCTTTGTTTTGTACTAGCTATCTTTTTTTTTTTTTTTTTTTTCTCTAATGTATATGCATTCATTCTTGTATGAATTGAACAAAGCTGATGTATTTATACTTGCTATAATTCCATTGTAGGAGACAGACTTCCTTACATGACTTCTGATATCCGAGAAGCATCTGGTAAATCTTTTGACTACATAATTGTAGGAGGAGGTGCCAGTGGTTGCCCCCTAGCTGCCACCTTGTCTGAGAGATTCTCAGTGCTCTTAGTAGAGAGAGGTGGATCACCTTATGGGGATCCATTCATTTTAGAGAAAAAGAACTATGGGCTCTCATTGATCCAAACTGATGAGTACTCATCAGTTGCACAGAGATTTGTCTCAGAAGAGGGAGTTGCAAATCTTAGAGGAAGAGTCTTGGGGGGATCAACAGCAATCAATGGTGGGTTTTATAGTAGAGCTAGTGAGAGTTACATCAAGAGAGTTGGGTGGGATGAGAAGCTAGTGAGAGATGCTTATGAGTGGGTGGAGTCTAAGGTGGTCTTTAAACCAGAGTTGAGCCTATGGCAGTCATTTGTGATAGATGGCTTTGTTGAGGCTGGAATCCTACCTTTCAACGGTTTTAGCTTGAAGCATGTTGGGGGGACAAAAGTGGGTGGGAGCACATTCGATGAATACGGAAGAAGGCATACCTCTGCTGATCTCTTAGCGGCTGGAAACTGGAAGAGACTCACAGTTCTTCTGAATGCAACTGTCAAAAATGTCATCTTCCAACGCAGTGGTAAGAAAAGAGAGGATTTCATTAATGAATATCTTCTGAAAACTTCTGTATAGATTTACTGTTTTCAAGTTGTATGTTTTCTAACAAACTTTTAATTTGTTTGGGATCTGTTGATCCCTCTCATTCATCTCAGGGAAATCTATCTATATATATATATATTTTAGAGGACCTCCGGGTTGGTCATATATACTCATATATGTCCAGTTTCCATAGCCAAAAAGGCCATTACCCAATGTTGGTCACAGCTATCTGGCTCTCGCCGTCTCGGGAGGGGTAGACTGGATACAGTCCTAACCTCTAGCATTTTTTGCGCAAAAGTGTCCACTCTCAGATTCAAACCTGCTTATGATGCTTGCATGGGCTCAGGTTAAGAATTTGCTAAAATGTGAAGGAGCTTGGCCCAAGCGCCCAGGCCCGATGAAGTGAAATTCTTCAAATCCAATACCAGTCACACCTTCTCAGAGCTCTTGTTTTAAACTTTTAATGAATCCAGAAAACCCATTTTATGTTGTAGATGTTCTTTTTACATTTCAAAGTTAGAACAGTTCTTCTCTTTCTGAGATTTTGAATTTTAATTAATGTTTGGAAGCCACACTGAGTAATAATTTTAGGTTGCATTTGGATTAGCTTCAGGATTTGTGCTTTTCAAGCCCAAAAGCACAATGTCCCAATTTTAGGCTTTGAGCTTTGGGGATTAAAAGTGTTTTGAGTTTTTGGTTCAATTTTGTTTTCCAGACCCAAAGCTCAAAAGAACTTATCCAAATGAAACCTTAATTTTTCAATAACTTTTGTTTATGACCCTATTATTAAATGTTAGGAAGTCCATTTCTTATTATTAAATGAAGAGATCTACCCTTTCAAAAAACAAGTTATTAAAAAGAAATCTACTTACCAACCATTAGTCCCGTTCAAACTCCAAATGTCAGGACCATAATACTTTTTATTAAGCAGTAGCTATAACAAACTAATTAAGTAGTATTTTTTTTTCAAAATAAGAAGAAAAACTAAGCACTATTTTAAATAAAAAAAGCAATTAATGAAGAATATCTCACCAAGCAAGATTTCACCAATCTGTTATAAGGTTGGATCTCTGTCAACAGCAGTTCAATTAATTAGGGCTTTTACTTGCATGACTTTTCACAAGTTTGGTAACTTTTGTAACAAGTTAGGCAACATGCATGCAGTTATATGTGGATTTGAACATGCAGTTATTTGAGGCTGTTTGTAGTTGAAAAAGATGTGCATTAGAAATGTATGCGTGGGAGGCTGCTGTAGAAATGCTAAATTGAAATTTCTGTTTAAGGGGTGAAGTTCAACCATTCTAATTCTAGCTGAAGTGACTCTTATGTGTGTATTGATAATTTGTAATTTATATCTTTCATCAATTTGTATTGATCAACTCAGGACTTGTTCAGTTTAAAAAGAGTATAAATATAAATATGTAGAGTGCAAAATCTTGTATTTTATATTATTTTGTATATAGTTATATTATATATATTTGTATTTGTATTCCTTCCAAATTGAGCCAAACCGCAATGATATCAAAGCATCACCTAGGTCATCTTTAGCAATGTTTTAAAACCATTCTAGATCCCTACAGTTGAACCATTCAACCTAGGAACTGGATACCATTCCGCTTCCATTTAACCTTTGACCCATCTTAAAAAAAAAAAATCTCAGTTTCTTATTTTTTTATTTATCAGTTGTTAGTTTCTTCATTTTTTGGCTACGAATCTTCTTAGTTTATTAGGCTGTGTTGATTTGGTAAGCTTTAAGAGAATTATTTTAACAGATTTTGTGATTCTAAGTCCTAAGAATCATTTATGAGTTTGAATTTTTGAAAATTGTTATAAAACTCATTTTGGGATTTGATTCTTTGGACATAACAAATGGTTTTTATACCTTTTTTCTGGATTTTTTTTTTTAATTTTTTGTATGTCTATTTCTAGACTTTTCCATTTCTGGACTATGGAGTCTGCATCTGCTCTTCACAGAGTGTTCCTTATACCGACCTTACAGCATGTTCCAGCCGCACATCAGGAATTTCTCTCATACTTAGTATGTTATTACTCATAGGAGATGTTTCTCCAACACGCTGGGATGTGGCTGTAAAATCAGTGTGAGGAGCAGATACCATAGATACTGGAAATACAAAATACCAAAATAAAACTTATAGCCAATCAACTAATATCATAAAAGAAGTGATCAATCAGGTGGTATTCATCAAAATTTACAGGGTGCTTTGATTGTCAAAACTCCTCCAGTACCATATCTTTCCGGTATGATTGATTTTCCCAAATAATTTTTGGATTTTTTGCAATTTAACTATTATTATTATTATTGCTAATATGACATCACATATTGAACCATAAACACAAGCATAGAAAAAAACATTTTCATTTCTGGATCGATTTTTAAGACATTGAACGTAAGACATGGGGGTTTTGACCGTACGTATTCTTTTTTATTGGGAAAATTCCCGATTTGTACCTTGTACTTTGGGCCTAGTGCCACTTTGGTCCCCAAACTTTAAAATGTGACAATTTAGTAGCCAAACTTTTGAAACATGCCAATCTAATACCTGTTATTAACCAGCCATTAAGTGGCATTTGAAAAGACACAAATTCCCTTCAAGTGTCATCTAATTTTCTTTATCAACCATCCAAGCATTGATAAAAATTGAATAGTCTCAAATCCTTGCCTCTTCTATTCAAGAAGGTTGGGGTCGCTAGAATGCCCACTAAGACGTGACCCCAACTTTCTTAAATAAAAGGGGCAAGGATTTGGGACTGTTCATGTTTTGTTAACGTTTGGATGGTTGATAAAGAGAATTAGATGACACTCGGAGGGCATTTGTGTCTTTTCAAATGCTACTTAACAGCTGATTAACCGGTTAGTTAACGGCAAGTACTAGTTTGGCATGTTTTGAAAATTCAGGTACTGAATTATCACATATTAAAGTTTGGAGACCAAAAAAACACTAGGCACAAAGTAGAAGGTACTAATCGGGAATTTTCTCTTTTTCATTTTACCTTTATGCTATTACAAGGACGTGAACAGAAACGGCCATTGGCCATAGAACTGCCCATAACTTAATAGTTAGATAATGTGTACATCAAATTTCATCTGAAGAGTTCAATTTGTAGCACAGATATCCCCTCTAATGACGTTATCCATTTCTTGTATGATTGATGACCATGAACTCATAGCTACCTTTAAATTATTCAGGTGATGGAGGCAAACCCAGAGCTCAGGGCATACGTTTTATTAACAGTGACAGCAAGACAAACTGTAGCTACAAAGCTTACCTCAACTATGATCCAATCTCCAGGCCATGGGGTGATGTTATATTGTCAGCAGGAACATTAAGTAGTCCACAAATACTCATGTTAAGTGGCATTGGACCCAGAGATCACCTTAAAAACTTCAAGATATATCCTCTTGTTGATGCTAACATGGTCGGCAAAGGTGTTACCGATAACCCCTGTATTGCTCTTGCTATAGACTCTGAGATAAGCCTACCTCCAGATCCACCTCAAGTAGTGGGTATAGCAAATGGGTATCAAATCATAGTTCAATCTTTAATCCTACCCATAAGCTTCAAAGAAACAAGAGTATTTGTTGTAGCCAAACTTTCGTTCCCATTGTCAAGAGGAACACTAGAGTTAAAAACTACCGATCCTAGGCAAAATCCTTCAGTAAAATTTAACTATCTAGTAGAGAAAAGGGACATGCATGAGTGTGTGAAGATGGCTCGTTTGGTCGAGAGAGTTGCAGGGTCCAAAGCAATGAAATGGTTTGAGAGAACTCATAACAATGAAACTCTGATGTCTACTAATGAGAAGCTGAGAGAATTTTGCGGGATGAACGTGAGGACATACTATCATTATTTTGGTGGGTGCAGTGTTGGGTCTGTTGTTGATAAGGATTACAAAGTATATGGCGTTGATGGATTGAGGGTCATAGATGGCTCTACATTGGTTGATTCACCTGGTACAAATCCGATGGCAACTCTGTTACTGCTTGGCAGGTACCAAGGAATTAAGATACTGCAAGAGAGGGTGGATGATTTGGTGAACTCGATACCAGATTCTCATTACTAACATCTAACCCATCATTACCCCTAGGTTGCTTCTCTCTCTGTACTCTGTAAATGACTGAAATTATGTAAAGAAATATTTCTTTTTTGATTGTAAGAGAAGTCTTTTCCTTTCCTTGTTGGGTGTGGGCGTGTCTCTCTGTGTCTTCTTTCTGTTTGTTTTCTTGACCTTCTTTTTAGTCGGTCTTTGTAGCAATCTTTACTGGTGGCTGGAATTCACAGTTTACTAACTAGCCAATGGTTTTACTATTGATCTCTTCCAAGATCCACTAAGAGGCAGTTTCAGTATTTTCTGTGTCAGCCTTGAGTACTAGTCTAGTTTTTGCAGAGTATCAATCCATGTCAATGGGTGATATTTTCCCTGTAGACCTAGAGAGGGTTATGCAGAATACTTTTTGCTATAAGGTGAGACATTGATAGGGAACCTCACAACAGAGGGCTAATGTCTCTGTTGGACTAATCTGTACAAGGAGAAAGGAGATCAAGATATACACTTAACACATCAAAAAAGAGAAATAATGGTATGGTATGTTTCAACTTTCAATTGATGATACCATTAGACCATGAGATGAGTAGAAATGTTTATCTTGAATGGTTCAAAATGCTTCAAAATATATAGGTAGATTGTAGGACCTCTCTCGAATGCTAATTCAGTTAGTTTTGGTTCAATTACAAAGCATCATAGATTCATCAAGAAATGAAATAATTGTCCACATCTAAATACACTAATGCTTAACCATTTCAGACTTCCCTCTGTTGAGAATATGGTAAAGCTATACCTATAAGGACTAGAAATGCCACAACCATTATTCAACAATGAGTATTATGGACTAGCACTGTGTAGAAAGGTTTTTCAGGATTAGACAAAGCTAGCATTGAATGAAGTTGTGGAAGCCAATGGATTGGGTGGCATGGATAAGCTTTCTAAGTCTCCCTCCAACATTTGAACCACAGTCCTCATTGAGGGACGATCCACTGGGTACCATTGAATGCACCAAAGTGCTACAATAGTTAATTTCTTTGCTATCCTAGCATCTCCATCCTCAGCCTCCTGGATTTCCAATTCCTCCCCTTGATTGAGTCTATTGTAAATCCATTCAGGGAAGTATACTTGGCTGGTCTTCTCTACTCCTGTGTCAATGTTCTTCCTCCCTCCAATCATTTCAAGCAGCAGCATTCCATAACTATAGACATCTGATTTATAAGAGACATTCCCAAAGTTCCTAGAAAATACTTCTGGTGCAATGTAGCCCATGGTCCCTCTTGCAGTTGTCATTGGTACAATACTCACATCCTTGGAACACAATTTGGCCAAACCAAAATCAGAGATTTTTGGGTTGAGGTTATGGTCTGACAAGATGTTATGGGGCTTGATATCAAAATGAAGGATGCGTTGCTCACAGCCTTGATGAAGATATTCTGTACTTTGGCTATCCCAACAACGATGTGATGAAGTTTGTTGCGCCTGAGGGAAGGGTTGTTGGCACCCCGTAAAAGGATGAATTTATCTAGTGATCCATTTGGGGGTAACTCGTAAATAAGAGCTCGTGCTAGTGATAAATCCACACTGGCCACGTCATCAGTTAGATAACAGCAATAATTTGTTATCTGTGGGCTTATCAATCCCAGATAACAATTATCCTGTTATCAACTTATGATAATCATTATCCTATTGTACTTGTCACTTTATCTGTACATTTCAATTTGAATTTCAAATTCTGTATCTTCACCTATATAAACTCATGTAACTTCTGCAATTCAATCAATGAGAATTAGCCACTTTCGTCGACTCTCGTATGGTATCAGAGCCCTAGAAGACTAACATCATGTCTGCTCAAAGTTCTTTTATCAAATCTCAAGGTGAGTCGTCTTCTAGAAATAATGGATTGGTTACTCTGTCCAGTTTCATGAATGTCATCATTGTACGCCTAGATAGATACAACTATCTTTTATGGTCTATGCAAAATCTTCCTACATTCAATGGGTATCGACTCATTGGTTATGTTGATGGATCACTACCATATCCATCGAAATTTCTTCCTGGCACTAATGATTAAAAGATCAACCCTGAATTCATCCCCCCTAACAGGCCCCGCGGGCTTGGTTCACTAGGCTTCGCAATTATCTCCTCACCTTGGGCTTCATTGAATCACGAGCTGATTCCTCTCTTTTTCTTCGACATCCCAAAGGGGAGACTCTTATTCTCTTAGTTTATGTCGACGACATTCTGATTACAGGCTCCAGTTCTGCTTCTATTTCATCTCTCATTGCTGATTTATCATCTCAATTTGCCTTGAGGGAACTTGGCCCCACACACTACTTCTTGGAAGTTGAGTTGATTCGCTCTTCTTCTGGTCTTCATTTGTCACAACATAAGTATATATCAGATTTTTTAATACGTGTTCAGATGCATGAAGCCAAACCGTCCCCTACTCCGATGTTTGCCAGCACTAGGCTTGACTCCTCACAGGGTGAACCTCTCTCCGATCCTTCTTTCTACAAGAGCATTGTTGGTGCTCTCCAATATATGACATTAACTTGGCCAGACATTTGTTTTTCTGCAAACAAAGTTTGCCAGTTTCTTAAAACTCCCACCACTTTCACTGGGCAGCAGTCAAGCGCATACTCTGCTATCTGAAGGGTACTATCACACATGGACTATCTCTGCTTCTGTCCAAAACTCTCACTCTCACTGCCTTTGCTGATGTTGATTGGACGAGCTGCCCTGTTGATAGGCAATCTCAAAGTGGTTAATCTATATTTTTGGGCCCAAATCTTATGTGTTGGAGCTCGAAGAAGCAATCTACTGTCTCTAGGTTCAGTACGGAAGCAGAGTATTGGTGCCTTGCTTCAACTGCTACAGAACTCTCTTGGATTACCATACTCCTCTCTGAACTTGGTGCACAACTCTCTCCTGCTACTGTTTGGTGTGATAATATGAGTGCTAAATCCTTAGCCTACAATTTTGTCCATCATGGTCACACGAAGCACATTGAACTTGATGTTCATTTCATTAGAGACTTGGTTGCAAAGAAATTGCTCTCCATCCATTATGTGCCCAGCAGTGATCAGCTCGCTGACTTACTAAACCGCTTCCTTCCACACGGTTTCTTCAACTCAAGAGCAAGCTGACCATAGTCTGAACTGTCAAAGTTTTTTTTTTTTTTAATAAAGGCCCGCTTGGAAGTTTTCTCACGCTCATTTGAAAAAGCATGGTTCAACTCCCTACTTGGAATGGACATGCCAGCAAATTTACTCCGATCACTCCTGCTTGTCAGAATTGGGCCAACATTCAACCACCTTGGTGCCCTCGCTTGAATTACAAGCTTGTGCTACCAAGCTCGGCCGAACTCTTCTCAACATGGACGAACAGGGTCCTAAATAAGCGAATGTAAATGAAGATTCTTAAATGAAATGTTAGAGGGGCTGGAAGAATCCAGTTGAGAAGACAAGTTGCTGAATTCTGTAGGCTGTACAAGCCAAGTGTTTGTTGCTTTATGGAAACAAGGGTTAATCCAACTAGAGCAAAAAATATTGTGTCAACTTTAAATTTTGATAAATTCCATTTAGTTGACTCAATTGGCTTTTCAGGTGGTCTGTGGTTGTTATGGGATTCATCAGCTTGCTCTGTTGATATTATTTTTTCAAATGACAGGATTATCCATGCTGCATTACTGATCTTAGCTCTAATAAAAGTAGGTTGAATACTTTTGTTTATGCTCCTCCTTGTAAGACTGATCAAATTAAAGTCTGGGACTGGATTAGAAACATTTCTGATTGTACTCATGGGGTGTGGTGTATTATATGGGAGATTTCAATGCCATGAGAAGAAGTTAGAATAAAAAAGGAGGTTCGGTAGTTAAGCCTTACCAAACCAGAAATTTTAATCAATTAATAGATTATTGTAATCTTACTGAAGTAGAGATGGAGGGAGGCCAATTTACTTGGAAAAACAATATTACCAAAGAAAGAATTGACTGGGTCCTATCGAATGTTGAATGGACATGTGAGTTTAATAATTGTAGGCTCATTAATCTTCCTTTTATGGCATTTGACCATACCCCTATGATTCTTGATAATAATACTCAAATTTCGTATGGTCCTAGACCATTCAGATTTGAAGCCATGTGGTGCCTTGATCCTAGTGTTGAAAAGGTTATAAAGAGGGCTTGGGATATCAACATTATTGGCTCTAGGACCTATCAATTTTGCAAGAAAAAAAAAATAATCTTGTTAAAGAACTCAAATTTTGGAATAAGCATCATTTTGGGAATATTAGGAGGAAGGAAGAGATTCTTTTGAAACACCAGGTGATCCAAGAGCAGTTAGAGGATGATCCAAATAATAGAACCCCCATTAATGATGAGATTGCCCTTCAAAAGCTTCTTAACAACACTCTTGCTAGAGAAGAAGTTTATTGGGCCCAAAATTCTAGAGTTGATTGGATTAAGCTTGGAGCTAAAAATAATAAATTTTTTTCACACCACTGCAACTATTCGAAGAAACAAAAATAAAATCAAGAAAATCATAAATGACAATGGTATCTAGGTGGATGACATTGAAAGTATCAAAAAAGTTTTTTGTAGTGGTTAAGAGAAAAGGTTCAAGTCTGAGGGTAGTTCAGAGGTTGATAATTTCRTTTCAAATATAGGGAGTTATGCAACAAAATCTATGAATACTTCCCTATGTAAAGAAGTTACAAATGAAGAAATCCATAATACCCTTCTATCGATGAAGGATATGAAGGCCCTTGGTCCTGATGGACTTAATGTTTATTTTTTCAAAAAGTTCAGGAATATTGTTGGAGATTTTGTCTGTAAGACAGTTAAAGCTTTTTTCCATTCTAGGAAATGAATGTTGAGTTAAATAGAACGTTTATCACCCTTATCCCTAAGTGTGATAACCCGAAGCGGATTAATGATTTTAGGTCCATTAGCCTGTGTAATGTTGTTTACAAGATCATTTCCGAAATTCTTGTTAATAGAATTAAGTCGTACCTAGATGATAGTATTTCCCCATTTCAGAGCGCTTTCATTCCAAGTAGACAAATTACTGATAACATTCTCATTGTTCATGAAATGATGCATACTGTGAAAAAAAAGAGAGGCAAGCAAGGGATGCTTGCATGTAAGGTTGATATGGAAAAGGCCTATGATAGGTTGGAATGGGACTTTATTAGGAGAGTGCTTGTTAAATTTGGAATCCATATCAAATGGATTAATTGGGTGATAGAATGCGTCACTTCAGTTTCTTTTCAGATTCTCTTAAATGGATCTCCTACTTGTACCATTAGGGCCAGTAGGGGTATTCGGCAGGGTGATCCCATCTCCCCGTATATTTTTGTCCTTTGTGCTGAAGCCTTACAAATAAATTTCATAAAGAGGCGTTGAGTGGCAAAAATGATATTGGCTGTAAAGCCTTTAAGGGAGGTCCGAAAATTCTAATTCTTCAGTTTGCGGATGACTGTATCATTTTTGCTAAAACTTCTATTAACACTTGTATTAAAATCAAGGAGATCTTAGATATATTTGCAAAAGCATCTGGTTAATTGCCCAATTATTTTAAATTGACCATTTCCTTTTCAAAAAACATCACCTATAGGCATAAGAAAATTATGGCCAGAATTCTTATCCCAATTGGGAATAGGAATAGAACCTATCTTGGTGCTCTCATTATTGAGGGTAGAGTGACAAAAGATACTTTCAAACTCTTGAAAGAAAAAAATGAATAACAAACTGGCAGGTTGGAAAAAAAATTCTTCCTCTCTAGCTGGGAAATTAATTTTAACTAATTCTTCTCCATCATTGGTTCCTCAATTTGTTTTGCAAGCTTTTAAAATTCCAAGTAGTGTGGCCACTAATTTAGAAAAAGACCAAAGGGACTTTATTTGATCGAGTGCAAAGAGCCAAAACCCCATTCATCTTGTTAGGTGCAACAGGGTTTGCTCTCCCAAAAAATGGGGTGGTTTAGGTGTGAGGAATCTTAAATGGATGAGTAAGGCCCTTCTTGCTAAGTTGGGGTGGAAAATTTTAACTTGCCATGACAATCTTTGGGTCAAGATTGTGACTAATAAATACCTTAATAACAACAATTTCTTGGATGCAAAAAAAAAAGAATAGTTCTTCTTGGGCTTGGAGAGGCATTTTGTCTTCTAGAGAACTTATTAAAAGGGGTTCTATGTGGAGAATCGACAATGGAAAAAAATGTAAATTTCTGGTTGGATTCATGGGCTGGTAATGGTCCTCTGATTGAATTTAATAATAGGAGAGATTTGAT